ATTTATATTTGTATTAAAGTTTATATTTAAATTTATATTAAAATTTATATTTAAAAATTTAAAAATAAAATTTAAATTGTTAAATAAAATTTTAAAATAAAAATAAAAATTTAATATTTGTATTAAAATTTGTATTTAAATTTATGATTGCCATGAAATATATATATATATATAGGACATGTTATATCGGTCCTGTGTGCCAAATTCCATGACAATCGGGTAAAAACAGCACAAGTTACAGGTTCTACAATATTTCAACAAAAATGTTGTTACCATGGCAACGATGACTCCGCCCACACCAAAAACGATTAGCGTCTTCGCTTTACCATAACGCACCTTCATGCCAAATTTGAAAATGATCCGAGATCAAGTAAAAACTGCCCACCAGGTCACTTCGACCTTTATTTCACCTTTACCTTGACCTTGATCATATTTTTCTTCCGCTCTCTAACTCAGGCCCTAATTGACCTAGCGCGACCAAACTTGGTATGCTTACACATCTTGGGGAGAAGGTCTGTCGCATACCAAAACCACCACTGCCCTTGACCTTAGTTTGACCTTCACCGTCGACTTACATTTCCTCTTAGGCCTCCTAGGGTAACCAGATTCCATATACTTGCACGTCTGAGGCACACCAGTTGTCTAACAAACTTCTATCTTTGTGACTTATTTAACTTTACCTGCCTTCTACGTCCTTACAGAGATATTCTATTCATACTAGATCACGGGAAATACATGTAGTTGCCAGTTGGCGACAACTGCTCGTTTCTAGTTATTTATTAAACTGAGGCGATTGAGCACGCCACCCTTTCAGTAGAAAACCCCGCTAACTCTTTCAAACGATTACGTATAAGAGTAAGTTTTCGTTTCGTCTCGCGAGTAGGGTGGTCATAATATACAAAATGCGTATATTCGGAATTACGTAACCCGGGTTAGCGCAACGTGGGGTATCAGTGTACGCGCGCATACGCACACGACCGCACGCACGCACACCCAAGTCGTGACTGTGAGAACTAGACGGCATTTGCACAGCCGTACGCACGCATGAACACACGCGCACAAACGCACGCACACACACGTGGGCGCGCATATCGTGCCCGTGAGAGTCAGCCGCGTGTGAGTGAGAGTGCGCTGAACGACCACCGTATTCAACATACCACGCACGCACACCTACACATCCGAATCACATGTTTGCAAAACATTGCTGATACGGAAACAACAAAATGCACGAAGAATGCATTATTCCTCGCGATGCATCTTGACAGCTCGAATACTCGCCAACGTAACATTCGCATTTTCCTCGCGAAAAGCGATGGTTCGCACATTTTCACAATTTCGCATATGCATGCAGGCACTATTCCAACTAACACGTTTACCTCTAGACTGTCGCAGCTGTTCACAACGACGAAGCAACGATATGCGCTATTGCCCACGCAGTTACCTCCTCGCTGACATAGAAGCTATGACTAATCTCCAGCCATCGTCGACGCTCTTCCGTCAATGTTCATCTATACAGTAGATTTCCTGCGTGATCACGTGTCACGACGCGACCAATCGCACGCCACTGTTCTACAACGGCACAGCGACGTCGTCGGCACGGACGTGATACGTCTCGACGTCAGAGCGCATGCGCAGGTGCTAGGTCGCGCACCGGGGAGACGCGTGCAGTACTACAAGACTACTCGATAACTAAGGAAAATGGCGTTGACCGGATCTACCGTCTACCGCCTAGCGTCGGTCGCCTAGACACTGCTGCGCATGCGAAAATACGGCCGCCAGCTGGCGTAAACAAACAGTTTTAATCCCGCTCACACGATGCCCCCGTGCGGGACTTAGAGCTTTCCGCTGCTGAAGCCCGTCGCAACGCACACACCGCCGCTGCAGACGGAAGTGAACGATTATTTATAGAGCGTGGATCGAGAGCATGTGCGTTCACTCTCGCTGGTTGCGTTGCGGTGATATAACGGGCTGTAACCTCGCGATGGGCGTATAACAGGCTGAGAAGACCGCAAGAAAGAAAGATTGAGCGTGGGAAGCGTAAACATCAGCTATATCAATATTTTTTATTGCGTAACGCGCAGGACTATAAATATAAATCACTACGCCCTACTTAAAATTAACCCACACGAGCGCGCATACGCGCACGCATACGCACACGCACGCACTCACACACATACAATGTACACACAATGCACACAAGTAGTTACGCACGTTTCACGTATCATACTCCCAGCACCTAAGGCCCAGGAGTACATCACCTGTGCGTGACAATCCTCTGCAATGCAATATTGGATCATAAACACGGTCCTAATTGAAAACAGGAAATTGCATTTGCGTATGAGCGTCATCAGGGCAGCCAACCTGCTCGCACCAATCTCACCTTCTGCTTTTTTGCATTGTTTGACTTCGGATTCTTCTGGTAGGTCCTGCTCTTCACCTCGTCACGGCGCTTCTTCGACGGTCGCGCGGCCGCCACCATCGCGTTGCGTATCATGATGATCCAGCCGCTCATCTCGTCCGCCGATCCCGCGTAGAAGAGATGTCGTACCTGCGCATGCGTGCGACACAGGTCGCTGTCATTGTACACGCACAGAGGAGGGCGCGCGTGGCGGACACACACTCACACACACACATACACACACACACACACGCACGCACACACACACACACACACAACAGACCACACACACACACACGCACACACACACGCCGCGCGCGCGCGCAGCGTGCGTGCGCTGCGTCGTGCGTGGCCTGTGCGTGTTGTGTGTGTGTGTGTGTGTGTGTGTGTGTGTGTGTGTGTGTGTGTGTGTTGTGTGTGGGTGTGTGTACGTACGTGTGATGTGCGTGTGTGTGTGCGTGTGCGTGCGTGTGATCGGCGCGTCCTTAAAATAATTTTCAGTCATATCTCTGTGTCACTGTTCAGTACTTCCACTACAAATTCAGTTTGGATCGCTTGACATATACGCGAATCGTTACGAAATTTTCGTATAGATATATGTGTATTTCGTGTATCCATCATACTATATATTATAAGCTCCTACGATCAGTCGCAGAAATTTGGGAGATTTTACCAGGATGTTGGTGAATTACCTTACAGGTTCCGGAGTCAGAATTGTAGATGACGAATGCATTCTGTACTTTCTTCGCATCCTGTTTCGATGCCTCTCGCACCTGTCAAAGTAGGCTAGTGTGATGACTGACGATGACCTGTCAGTGACCATGCTCTCTCTAAAAAACAGGTGACGAGAATCCCTGAATTAACGACAGGATGCTTTCTGATTTCACTTCTAATTAAACAAACTTTGTTGCATGGTATATAAATAGCCTATCTCTCTTGATCTTGCTCTTGGTCATCTTGCTCTTGATATAACCCTTGAATTGTTATGATCATATATTGATAATCAATCATATGATTCACGCATATACTCACTCATCACTCATGATTACCAAATATCGCAGGCCGAAAGTTGAGATTACATATGTTTCAACACTCATACATGCGATCGGTGATTTTCTGGCGGGTATTACACTCAGCAGCAGGGCTGGAAATGAATTAGGCCTTATAGCGCGTCCCCGGATTCAACTGATAATGACCTATTACTGCGTTAGTAGTCCATGACATGCCGTGGGTGGAGTACCTAGTGGCATGCGTGGGGTGGGGTAACTTGGTGACCACGTTTCATGTTTGAACTTTATCGCAGTCACCTTTCCATCCGTGCCTTCCCTGAGACATACATAAGACACAACAGCCCGGATAATATTCAGATATACAGATGAATATATTAATATATTATCACTAGCTGCGGTTACTCCGCACTGCGCTGGGTAAAACCTTCGGTGGCTACTAATTCATACTACTATAGTAATAATTGGGACACAGTAGGAAGCATTGGGGTAAAAAATCGACAATGAACATTGCACACAATATCAATATTTAGAAATCGGAATCAATTAAGACATAATAAGCATGGGAAAAGAAACTGTTACGTAAATGGACATTTATATGACAGTCACACACCCAACTTAGAACACCTGAGACATAACTATTAATAGTAATCCATATGGACTCATAGGGATCCTATGTCCTCCAGATATACCCGGAACGTTACGTACCCTGGTGGCTATTTGATATGCAGGTTAGGTAGTTAGGATTATGGTTAGGGTTAGTTGGGTTCGTTGCTGGTATGCTAGGCGTAGGCCGACTCCCTATAGAATCGTTAGTGAGTAGGCGAGGTATACGGTCCGGGCCATATTACGATGAGGTACCTAGGCGACGTTCCGGTAATACCCAACTGTACCCGGCGCTACGTTCAGGCCAAGAGTATACCCGGGGGGAACAGAGGCACTCCAGCAAGTAATATGGAGTAAATGACAAAAGTATTGTTATATAAGCTAGCATGCTACGAAATGGGTTGACTTCTCGTTGAAGCCTCTGATTAAACAATGTTTTTTCGTGTTATTCTCTGGTGCAAACTATGTAGAGATTCCTGCGTATTCCAACTGTTGAGCCCACGCACGTACAGCTATCCGATTGTGAGATCGTAACGACTGAATACAAAGAAATTCACATAGTTATAGTATAGATGAGACAGGCCAGCGAGTGGGGTCTGTGTGACCTGGATATTGTCTAGTGAATGCTTGGCGCCGCGAACTCCCATGCACATTGAAATTAAGAATTTGTATTTGAATCAGAAAATGCATAGCTTTGGAATGCGTACAATGCATTTCTCAGATCGTAGCATCTGACCTTGATAACCTGAACTGAAGTGAGTA